GATCGACGCGATCGCGATGTATAATTTGAGAGTGGTGGAGCGGATCTCAAAGAAGTAGGAAGACAATTTTCGATTGCAGTATTTTTACGATATATCCTGTCTAAGATGTATTCTAAAAATGCTATAAATATGTAAATAGAATTTATCTAAAGTATAAAGGTTCAATATTCTATCGGAAAACACCTTCAGGCATGTTCACAATTTTCGACCATTGCAGTATTTTTAAGATATATCCTGTCTAAGATGTATTCTTGATGATGATTATGATATGAAGTTTTATAAAAGTTTTATGAAACTTCGTATTTTGATAAATAAGCTGATTCAAAATAAAACGAATTTTGTAGGACACGAAAAAAGTATTAAATCAGGGAAATCACTAATTTAAAGCCAGAATTTTATTCTTGAATAAAAACTCTCAATAGTTTAAATATTTGAATGACATTTTTTTTTATTTTGTGTGTTCTCCCAACCGGTTAATTAAATAATTAGAACATGTCAATAGTTTCATTGTCTCATAATAGCACATAGTATGCTAGCAGATCGAGAGGAGGGGGTGGAGGACTGGCCCCTCCTTATTTTCCAAAGACAAGTTTATTGCTATTAATCTAGATGATTATGGAAGTTTTGATAAATGACGAATATGTATATCGCAAAAAAGTCATGTTAGAATGATCATAAGTTGTACTGTATCTTTATCTATAGACCAATCATTAGCATATGAAAGAAGGGGTATTTGTTATTATATTCATACAATGTATTAATATGACATTTTGAAAATAAGAAAGGGTGGGGTGGCGGTCATAATACAACGTATGTGATGAATGTCTTTGACAGTGACATAACAACGGTCATGATATGGGGAAGGGGGCGATAAAAAAAATTCAACTTCCTGAGAAAACTTGACAATCAAAAAAGGTAAAGAATATTGCCAAACCATCTCCGCTAGCCAAGGGTTTCTGATACGCTACTCTCCTCATAAATCCTATTTTGGAGAGTGATAGAGAGGGCGGGGTCAAGCATCTTCGCTATAGGCAAAGGTTTCTGATACACTACTCTCCTCATGATTATGAGGAGAGTAGTGTATCAGAAACCCTTGGCTAGCGAAGATGGGGGTCAAGGTTTCAACTTCTTTCATAACCTTTTTTCATTCAAACATTACCCTCATTATAATAACCTTGTTTGTCTCCATTTACTTTGTACAGTATTTGATACGGAATGAGCAGGTCGACTGATAATAAAAGTGTTTTGCCCCCCCCCCCCCCTCTCAAACTTCATCGCCCGAAGAGCATTGAAAACCGAACATTTTCATTATAATAATATCCAAAATTTGTATTAGGTAATACTAGTAACCGGAACAGCACATTCGAAATTTATAGCATATATGAAAAGAGGCCTATGGGTAATATTTCTTGTTTAATTGTCTGTGTGAAACATCTGCAGCTCATAAACGGACTGCTGAGAAGAAATTGTCGCTTATACTTGCAATGTTCAAAATCATAAGCATCAAAACAAACTTAGGATGATCTTAGGACAGGTATTATGTTGTCCTAAAGTTAAGAAAAACTTAGGAAAGTTCCTAAATTTAGGAAAGCTTCGAGAAACTGACTTAAGACTGGGACATTTCCTAAGACATTCTTAGGACACACCATAATCCTAAGATAGCTTCGTGAACATGCCTGCTTGTCTACAGTTTCTATACATTTAATAACGCATATGTAGGAAAACTATTGGTATTATAGAAACGTATTTAATAATGTTTGTTAAGAAACCAGTTCTAAATGTTTTTATTTATATCTATTAAAATCAGTGGATTATGAGATTCAGATATTGATTATATTAATTAATAAATGAAAATAAATTCCACATGTTGGAAACAGCGATAATTAAAAACTCTGGATGCGTCAAACGTCAAAACACGTGGTTAAAAAAAATCTGTGTCGGAGTTCACCGTCAGTCTGCAACGTCACATCTTTATGACGTTATTTCTCTGTTTTAACATAAATGCCATAAGGACCCTTTTGTCATGGGCGCAATCATATATATATATATATATATATATATATATATATATATATATATATATATATATATATATATATATATATATATATATATATATATATATATATATATATATATATATTTATTATAAATTCATAAATATATACATTATATACCTACAATGTAACTATAAACAAGATTATTTTGGGGAGAATTTTTTTTTTTTTTCCTGAAATTTTTAAAAATAAATTTGAGAGTACAACGGAACCTAAATGGCAATCACAACGGTTATAACTCGGATGATTCACTTTCTTAACGAAATGATTGGGGAAAAGTTTATAATTCCAAACCTGATGCTTTAATAATAGAATAGAATACTTATACTAATTAATAGATTACAAGCATTCAGATTACATGCAACTCGATGCTAACATATGGTACAATGTTTAATGAAATATATAAATATTACGAACATTATCCAAGCTCAAAAGATATACACGTTATTTCCCGATCATGACAAGGAGCACACGGCGGGTGTGACCGGTCAGCAGGGATGCTCACTCCTCCATGGCACCTGATCCCACCTGTGATGTTTCGGAGGTCCGTGTTTGCTCTGCTCCTATTTTGTATTGTTTTATGGACTTTGATATTGAATACTGTTCGTTACCTGCATTACCTTCTTCAAACAATACAGAATAAGAGCAGGGCTAACAAGGACCTCCAAAGCACCAAGATGGAATTTGGAGGAGTGAGCATCTTTGGCCGACCGGACATATATGTTTAGTACAAAACAAGGACGGTTCAAAAGGAAAACTCTATTCTGAAATGTTTTTACACTTCAGAAAAGTCTTTAAAAAATAAGAAGTAATCAGCCTTCGAAACAGATTTGCAATTACAATTGCAATAATAAATTTCATTTTCAGAATTCTCAACCAGTTCCTAGAACACAATATATCTATACAAGAGGATCCGCTGCAAGTTGTGGAGCATTTTTTGAACTAAATCGAGACTACATTATCACAGGTTTGTCATGTTCGCAGGGAATATCGTCATATCTGGAACATCCAGGATACACATGAATAAATATCTTTAGATCGCTTATACCAATTAATACTTAAGAATTTTTAGCTTCCAATTAAAAAAAATATATCCATCATCGGAAATACGTAAACACATTTTTTAAATTTAAATGTTAAATTGAAGAAAAAATGTTGAAATCAATCTTTTAGATCTACTGTCATGAAAAATTCCTGATGTGTTTTTTAATTAAAAACTTTCTACAAAAGTCATGTATTGACTCTTTAATTGCATTAATTTCTGCATTGTTGAATTTCTTCTAGGAAATGTTTTAAACAGCGGTTCGTGGTTTACAACTTCATGCAATTTTTCTCCACAAGTGCAATATCTCTCTCCGTTCGAAAGGGCAGCGTTATATCAAGGAATTTACAGCAATAATTGTGACTGCACAGTATGTCAGTTCTTAAAGTATACACATACACTTTATAACTCTCAAAATATAGTCAATTCTAAGTCTTATATGTTTGCTTCATTGTTTTAATTTAACAAAAAAACCCCATAAATTATCTATTTTGTATGTTTAACAGGTTACTGATTGTACATTTCCTGGATTAGACTGTCCATTAGTCGTGCCAGAAAATGAATGTTTCATTAGATCTGAGAGCAATGCAGGTTGTCTGTACGAGAATGACACTTGTGGAAGAGTCGGTTCTAGGTGCAACTGGATTTTAAATGTATGCTCCGAAAACAGACGGTATTAGAAATAAGGAAAAAAAATGAACGTGGAGAAATGTCGTCAATGATAATTTTCTGTAATTAAAGAACACTCAGTTCTCGTACAGTAACTATGATAATAAAGAAAAACAAAATATTTGCTTTGTTAACTTTTTCTTACATTACTTCATGCATACTTAGCCATACCTTTAATTGAATTTTTCGTAATTTTTGTGGACATTATCGACCTAATGTGGTCAAAATTATTAACAACTACTGAGCATTTATTTCTTTATGTCTTGTTTTCCCATTTGTTAGTACATTTATGCTTAAAAACAGATCAAAAATGCAATATATTTTCTTTTCACATGTACCTACCTTATAAGATACTTAACACAAACATTAATTTTTGTTTGTATCTTTGCATATGGGAAAGATCATCGCAAGCAATGTAGAAAAATATATAAACTTCAGCGCATGCTTACGTGGATAATGCATATTCCTATGCAACACACGTAGTTGTAAATGATATAATTGACAAATAGATAAAGAATTCATTTTATTGTTAAAAAAAATCATATAAAATAAGCAGTTTTGTTATGTGTTGTTTTCATGTTTATGTTCAGGTTATCCCACTCTATTAAATTCCATTCACAGTTAATTTTATCCACAGTTTTCAATGTAGGACAAAAAGGATCAGAGAGTCTTAATTGTGAAGATTATTTCCCATTTTCACACCAAGCTTTAGTCATTATAATTAGATTATATAATGAAATACCTCGCGATTTCTATTTTTTATATGAAACATTTACTGATTAAAGACAAATTCTGAGTCTTTTTCATGATCCTGGGGCCTGGTATTTATGAGGCTCTCTGTTCATATCCTGTTAACAGATTTTTATTGTATGTTGATTTTTTTAAATCGATTACCGTTCGTTATCTAAACCCTTTTCATTGCTGTAACTGTTAATGTTTCAGATGTACCCAGTATTCTAAAATAACTCCGTACATGCTTTACATTGAAAGCTTTTTTGGTCCAATTTTTGCCCTTGGCAGTAAATTTCTAACTAATCTAAATCTATATATTATCTCGTTTTGTTTCTAAAATTACATTTTTCAATCATTTTTTTCACATATATTCTTTTGTAAAATTTCAAGAAAAAATATTTCCTTTTCTAAAAGGGCCCCTTTAGTCAAGATTTGTTTTTTAAATCTCTATCATTAATTATTTATCAGTCACAAGATTTACTAAGACAATTACTTTGAACTATTTCAATATCTTTTAGATACATATACAGAAATTTTAAGAGAAAATCAAGTTATTTTTCTTATAACTATAAAATAATTTTTGTCCTCGATTTCTTTTTTCCAACTTAAGAAAAAAAAAACAGGAAGGTTGGCAAAACTTTTTGCCGGGTAAATGTTTTCCCTTCAAGTTTTATATATTTGTATAAATTATTGTTAATATGAAAAAAACATCGAAATTTTAAATTATCGGGAAACTTTTTAAATTATTTTCAATTAATACATTCCCTACAATTGGTAGATGTTTGGAAATACCTAAATAAGTGTTGATTTTGTGGAATACAATGCGTAGAAAACTATACAGCAAACAGTTTGCGAAATTAGTTGTTAAACGACATGCAATATAGTTTTGAATGATGATTTATAATGTTTACCGTTGTGCACAATACTTTCTACACGGTTTGCACTTTTGGATTGTGTATTTTGCACCTTCTTACGTCAGAGTACATATGTTCAACAGCTTGTTAGTAAATGTCAATAAGAATGAAAAAAAAATCTCGATAAATCCGGTTTGAAGAGCATTATAAATGTAAAATACGACGGTTTTTTTTACCTTTTCATTATTTCACTAAACCTACAATGAGAACTTTGATTATTTATGTAATATTCGTTGCTTTCATTGCTGAATCAAACGCATGCACATGCCCTCCTCAGCATCCGCAAGAGCATTTTTGTAAATCACAATTTGGTAAGTTGTGTTTAAAGTTAAATATGAATTATTGTATTTTCCATCCATCTAACACTTTGTATATGACAATGTTTTTCTTTTTTATTTACACAAAATGATTTCAGAAATGTTTTTGAAAATTTTAACGAACCTACAAACCTATGAAGAACCAAAATATTTACTTTAGTTTTGTTTTTTTTATTTCTTTAAGACGATTTTTCTTTAATACAAATATGTAATAAGTCCAGTAATATACTCACATAGCAAAAATGCATCTTAAACATAATTTTAAAAAAATGCAACATTTCCATTTCTTCTTCCAGTTGTCCAGGCAAGAGTAATTAGCCAAAGAACCGTAAACAATGGATTGGATATTGTTTACACTGTTCAAATTATTCAGGATTTCAAGGTAACGTTTATTCATAGATGTTTGAACTTTTTTCCCCATCAGATACGCTTTTCAGAAACCTTTTTTTTTACACCATTCAAATGTTCACAATCCGAGCGCGTAGCGCAGGGTTTTTCCTTAGATTCGTGGGGTAAGAAGATGACTCATTCGTCGTGGGTTCGAATCGCACTGCAGGGAACAAAACGCGGTCCTTATGTTGGCACCGTATAATCCGATGTCCCCTTTTGTAGCCGAGCTGGCACGAAGAAGAATCCTAAGTTCGCCATCCACCAACAAGTGATGATGTCTCAATATATGAATGAAAAATTCTCGAAAGGGACGTCAAAGTCACAAATAAACATAGTTCGAAAAATCTGGTTTGAATCCCGCTCTGGGACGATGAGGTTCATCAGATGAAAGGGTATGGACCGAGGCCCGTGTCTCAGTAGATGCTGGCACGAAAAAGATCCCTCACTGCTCCATGGCTCTGAGTGTCGAGTATAGGTAAACATTTCCAGCTTTCTACCGACAATGAGCGGCGTTTTCATATAAGTGAATATTCCCGAGACTGACATTTGAAAACAAACAAACAAACAAACAAAAAAAAAATCAAAGATTTCACATAAAATGTCTTCGTCTATAATATAAAATGACTTTGTTCAGCGTGATTTATCATTAAGCAGATGTTTATCTCATGAGGCTCTGTTTTACACTTTACTCATTTTTGACAGAGTGACAGAAGACGGTACGGACAGCAGACGACAATGCGAACTATAAAAACCAGCTCATCATCTGCTGCTTGTGGTTCATACTTCAAAATAAACAAAGAATACATCATATCAGGTAATTTGCAAAATAAGCATACCTGTTATTTATTCTAGAATTATATTTTTTGTGTTGATCTATGCATTCAAAATGTTTTCCATCATTTTGTACTATACTTTGTATATTAAAAAGTATAAGTACATTTGAATTTTCATAAAATTGATTTACTGCGACGTCTCTCAATATATAACATAGGATTTGTATAGTTTAGAATATAAGAAGTTTAAGAAATACAAGAACAACATCAGATATGTATGTTTGGATTTTGTATAGTGACATACATGGTACAACTAACATATCTGGTGACTAAAACATATTCTTTTTTTTCTTTCTACATTATGACATCACATTAACATTTTCAGGTTTCAACAATCAGGGAAAATGGGAAACAAATTTATGCGCTTGGAATACAGAAACATCTTTACTTACAGAATACCAAAGAAGAGCCCTGAACTTTGGCATTTATCAAAACAGTTGTACATGCAAGGTATAGCGTGCATTATGTTCTTATGCATTTATGAAGGAAAAGGATGAATTACATATTTAAATCAAATTATTGAATTATTGATTCAAAAAAGATTATTCAATAGAATTTAATTAAGTATTCTCTCTTTATTCTATTGGAATAGTACACAACAAGAAAATATATCAGAAAAAATATATCTCTTAAATAAAGGGTATGTCCATTTATAGATTTTTGATTGCACATCGGATGTGATAGATTGCCCAGCTGTGAAAGGAAACGAGTGCGTCATCAGAACAAATCCTAGTTGTTACTATGATGATAATTCATGTGGAAGGGTCAACTCCAAGTGTATGTGGGCATCTCCATCATGTGATGTACCACAACAGTAAATAAAAGTACATGTGCCTGCATAATCAATTTTACCATGTCAGGTTTTTATTTATATGTATGCCTTGTGTGTTTATCTGACTTAATAAAAACCGAATAAATTGATTAAAACATTAATATACTGGTTTTTGATCTTACTTGCTGATTAAGATGTTTTGTAAAAAAAAAATTAAAGTTACACAAAATTAATTTTCTATAGCAAATACTAAAGTAACTTTCTGAGGATTAACTGGAAAATTTCTTGGGTATATTCGGGAAATATTGTAAAAAAAGAGAGTAATGACTAATCAATACTAATTGTTAAGCAATTCATTTCACACCGCATTGTCTGCGGATTTTTTCCTGGCATCGTCATATCAAAGGAACACTCGGCGGGTGTTACCAGTCGATTTGGGATACTTACTCCTCCATGGCACCTAACCAACCTCTGATGTCTGTTTGTATTGATTTAATTGAGTTTTAAGGTTGATTATTTTCATTTATTTTCTTTTACGGAAATTCTGTAGAACCATTGGACATGTTCAACAAACAAGCTTTTTTACATAAAGACATTCATGACATTTCATTAATTAAATGCAAAATATATCAATTTAGCAAAAATACAGTTAATACAAGTAACTTTAAAAACGTTGGTAATATTCAAGTATATTAAATATTGTAAGACATTAATTATTCCATTATAAAAGCCAGTCGTTTACACCAGGAACTCTCTATTTCAAATGAAATATTGCAAAATATTAAATCAATGTATGATGCAAAATAGCTTGTTATTAAAAAAGAATGACGGATTCTAAACATCTGTTGTAGTCATAATTTTTATGATACAGATAAAGTGCATAACCTAGCTTTTTTTTGCCATGTGCTGGATTTTATCTATTTGATAAAAACTATAAAAGTTAATCCACGTGTATTCTATCAACAGTCATAAATGAGACCGTATAAACCGAGGCCCTTTGTCGCAGTAGGTGCTGGCACGAAAAAGATTCCTCACGGCTCAGTGGCCCTAAGTGCCGAACATAAGACAAAATATGCAAGTGGTGGTGTCTACATAGGAGTCAAAAATTCTCGAGAGGGATCTGGACTTTAAACAAAATACAACCAATCAAACAATCCAGGCTAAACAAAATCATTTGCTTTAAGATGTAAATACACTGTAATTTAAAACTTCTTTTTGTGATTTCTTTGAGTAATAAAATAAATATTTGGCAAAATGTTCCTTTAAAACAAGAAATCATTCTTTATACCTCATACAAAGTGAATTTCTTTCAATGAAATATATGGAAATAACAAACTGTTTTCAAGCCCAAAAGTCCATCAAACAATACAAAATAAGAGTAGGAAAAAACAAGGACCACAAATCATCAGAGTTGAGATCAGGTATCATGAAGGATTGAGCATCTCCTGCCGAGCGGTCAAATGCACAGTGTGCTTCTTGTCATGATCTGGATATAGAGGGAAAATCCGTCGACAAGTCAGTGTGTAAATAATGGCCGAACAATAAGTATGAAAAGCGTCAGTCAGCATTTGACTATATGAAAAATTTGCTGAAAAGATCATTGTCTCGACCAAAGAACTTACGAAATGATGAATTTAAACGAGACACCTGATATTCTTGTTTCAGCAACTTCTTTATCAGCAAGTTGTTTGTCAATAACTTACTTGTCCATACGTAGAGCAGGCTACTTTTCAGATATATAGGTGTACAGAACTCCTGAACTTTCACATTTACTGCTATCAATATTTCTTGTAGAGTAAATTAAAATGTTGTTTGAACATTAATTAGACCCAGATATATATCTTGACCTTGAGGAATTATAGGAAGCTTAGAAATATAGTATTTATCGTAGGAATGGTAAATGAATTCTATTTGGATGTGGACTATTATTTTTCAAAATGACGTATTATAAAAAATTATAAGGAAAATTATTAATATATTTAAAATACATTCGTACATCTTTTATTATTAAAGTCAAGTGTCTAAAAAAGGATAATTTATCATTGAATAATTCCCATCTCACTGGTTGTTTGAGATTCAACATTGAAGGAATAGGCAATATTAATAAAGAGTGTTTGTTTATTTAAATATATATATATATATATATATATATATATATATATATATATATATATATATATATATATATATATATATATATATATATATATATATATATATATATATATATATATATATATATATATATATATATATATATATATATATATATATATATATATATATATATATATATATATATATATATATATATATATATATATATATATATATATATATATATATATATATATATATATATATATATATATATATATATATATATAAAGTTATATATTATCTGACATATATTACGCATGATAGTGATACAGAAAATTATATTTGAATATAAAATAATAAAATAATTTTTAAAAAAAGTAATAATAGAAAAACCTAATATTTATGTCACTCCTTCACAGTATCTGTGTATATGAATAATTCTTTTCATACCACGTACATTTCAAATATATCTTTAAATAAATATTCGATAATTCTAAACGAAGTCATTTCAAATTTAAGATTTAAGTTAATATTTAAAGTGTTGTGTAGTGTATTAGTATATTAGTGTATATTAGTTATTTAGAATTTTGTTACGAATAAATGCGCCCCAAAAGTTTATAATGGAATGACAGCTTTTAGAAACCATGCATTACAACATTCATCAATACCTTATAGGATATTGAAATAAAAGAGTATAATTTCGATCAGCATTGGTAGTTAATATTTCTCTGTTTTCTTCATTACTAAGCAAGTAAAATTTCCAAGGACAGATTTCATATTAAAGTGCATGCAAATGAATTTAATTAACCATACCATTAAATGTGTTTTTTAATTAATTTGTTGACCTAAGATAAACAAATCATTATTTTTATTAATTTCCTTTACGTATGTTATCTGAGACGTTAAGACAACCAGTCAAGAGATTTCCGAAATTTTGCACTTTACTGTACATTTTATTTGCTTTCTCGTAAATATGAGCATGTAATTGCTCTAATATAAACTTTATGATGCTGTTAATGTCCCAAGAGAGGGTCTTTTTTTTAAACATATATAACTTGTATATGACATATTTAAGATGGAAGCGTTAAAAGTAAAAGTCAAAAAAATGTCTAAATTTTTAATACAATATTGGGTTAGAGAAAGAAATGAAGCAGAACTTTAAAAAAGTGACTAAAATAAAAATAATAATTCTAAGTTGTGGAAGATTTGAAAATTAAATATCATTATGTTTTGCAAAAGTTCCAAATTTTAATTCCCTGACAAAAATTAAATAACAATGTACTTGTAAAGAAAAAGAAAGGGACGTTAGTTATATCTAATAAACCCCAATTGGTTAAGTTATCCACATGTCTAACCCGATTCATTTGTGCTTAGATGCAATCATTTGACTCTAAATAAAATAAAACAGAAACCCTGCACTTTATATCAAAAATAATTATCAGTGTGGTAAACCATATAAGTCGAAACCCTTCCAAAGTATTGTTGTAGAAAATCTCTCGTTCCTTGTTGTTTGTTTGTAGATCACATGATGAATAATTTTACAATTTTTTTGTGAACAATCACCAGCTTGTTTGGAAATATATATAAAAGTGAAAATCTTACCAAGCAATGTAAAACTTACAATACCACTGTTAGAACAATATAGCATACCGAATAAGACGAAAATGAAGCTCTTGAGCGTCTGTTGTTTGCTATTTCTTTCTGTTTTCCATTATTCTGAGGCCAAGAGCGAGTGCAAGTGCAAACCCCAGCATCCACAAGAGGCCTTCTGTGATGATAACGCGTTTGGTAAGTTAGTTTTATTTAAAAGTTGAAATATATTTTCCATTGCTTAAGACGCCAATTTACTAAAACTAATTCATCTCTAACATGTGAAAACCCCATTCATGAAGAGGAAAATTGCTGATTGAATACCTTAATAATTAATTTTACTATAAACAGACGTTGCTTAATATCCAAATGCGTTAAAAAAAATTTATTGTACAAACAGCTCTACGGAAGACCATTGATTCATGCAGAAAATAATTATAACTTCTTATTTTATCACAAAGGTATATCATTAATGTTCCCTTCGGTCAAAGATGGAATGCTCTTTGGCGATGCTATTGGTCGGTCCATTTCTTTCTTAGTTGCCGCCCGCTTGGCGCAGTGGTTAGAGCGTCTGCGCAGGTTTGAATCCCACTGTGGGACTTGTAGACCGCTAATTCGGATGACACCGTATAAACCGAGGTCCCGTGTCACAATATACACTTATTTAATGACTACGAGGTAAACAGTCAAACTGTTGTCTCGAGGTAGTGGGGAAAACCGGGGAATTCGGCCTCGGGCAACAGTTTCCCAGGTCTTACCCACTACCGAGGGACAACAGTTTGATTTCACCGAGTAGTCATTGAATAAGTGTTTTATTACCTAACCTACATGTACTATATTATTAATGAAATTGGAATAAAAACACCCAAACAATCATGATCAATATAGAGTTTTAACAACTGTTTATTCGCATACTTGACTACTAGTATTAATTAGCTGAACATATAATATAAAGATTAAATTAATATTTACTAATTTAAAGTATACTTAATAAATTGATTGATTGATTGTGTGTTTTATTTCAATTTATTTAATTATACGTATAGCAGGTAAATAGTGATGTCAAAATGCTTGAATATCACGATGACGCTTTAAACAGGCAACAGTTCATTCTGTGACCCGGTCAACAGTTCTACTGTTTCATGATCATGCAAAAACATAAAATAAACCGCGAAACAGTTCAAAATGCCTAATAACAACTTATATAGTAGGTTAGGTAATAATAGGTGCTGTCACGAAAAAGATCCCTTCCTGCTCAATGGCCCTGAGTGGCTAGTATAGGAAAAAATTTGCAACTCTCCACAGGCAAGTGGTGGCGTCTCCATATGAGTGAAAAATTCTCCAAAGGGACGTTAAAAAATATATACACGTACTATCAATCAATCAATCTCTTTTGGTTATGTTTATAATAATTTATTTCTTTCAGTTATCAAAGCAAAGATATTAAGTAGAAAGAAACTGTCATCTGGTCCTGGTTCAGAAAATCGTGTTTATAAAGTCAAAGTCTTAAAGGATTACAAGGTATTACAAGTACATGTAACTTTATTTAAGTGATAATTAACTTTCTGTGTGTATAAATAATATGGGAACAGAAAGCAGCATTCCTTTCAATTTTCATATAATTTTTTTTTTCAGAACACCTTCGATCCTATTCGAGGAATAGAAAAGATTTACACAAGTTCGTCACGTGAACCTTGTGGTGTATATTTCAGAAGGAAAGCAACATATATTATAAGTGGTAGGTGAATATTTCTTTTTCTGTCATTACAAATTTCATTTAAAAGACCTTAAGTAATATGTATCAAAGTATCCTTGGACCAGTCTAAATTCCCTTCAAATCCTACTTTCGTGGTTCTGTTTAATCCCAGCTTCAGACGTCAATACAGTTGGAATGTAACATTACTTTTTAAAACATTTTTACAGGTAAAAATTCGTAGTAATACAACATGTTAATAATTCTACGATTTCAGGCCACAAATCCGGTGCTTATGGAAAGTTAACAACAAGTGCTTGTTCCTGGAGCCAAAAGATCTGCACTATCACATCCTTCCAAAAGTTTGCTCTCAAGACTGGCATGTACAAAAAGAATTGCCATTGTAAGGTACGATATGGAGAGATTTACCTAACTTTATAATTTTTAAGATTGACAAAATTATAATTTGGATGATTTTAACTAATCTTCAAGAATAAAAATAAAGGATAACATGTCATACCTCCTGTTGTTTGCAAGAAAGGAAAAGACAGTGAAACACAGTGAAAATAAGCAAAATAAAAAAAATCTTAATATTTAAAGCTGAATAACTTCTAATTACTTCAATCGATTGATAATTTAAATGGCTAAAAGATGTGATTACTTTTTTTTAGATTTTGGATTGTTCGGAGGGATATTGTAATCCACCAACAGGAGAGAACTGCGTAATTAAATTCAACAGAAATTGCTTCCTGAAAAAGAACGCATGCGTCCAAAAGTCTTCCTATGGTGCCCTGCAGTGTGGTTGGAAATTAAATGCCTGTTCTTCGAAACCTCACTATGGAACCAGCAAGGAGGTCGTCTACGAACCCGTCGACACGGAAGTTCCGGACCACGTCTACACTTCCGGTGAACATGTGGTCCACAAACTCTTTAACCCGCAGGTAAAACCAAATCAACATAAAGGACCGGAAGACAAAAGCATTGTCATAGAGCCTTACACAAAACATGTGTATGAAAATATTGACCATGTTTGACAAAAAGTTGTTGGCCTCTAGATGCTGTCGTTTTAAAAAATAACACATTTCAATTATATATATGATTATTTTGGATAAATATCACTGAATTGAATTTTATAACATGTAAGCAATTTTTTTTTTTGGCCTTCCAATTATCTTTTATATATTAATTATTTTGTTAAAGACCCTAACATTTCTGTTCTACATCAAATGTATTGAAAATTAATTTTTTTATCCCATAGTTTTATTAAGACACCTCTTTTAGGGATTACATATTTCCTCAGGATTTTTTTAAATCGGAACAAAATTAAACTTTTATGCAAAGCAAAGTCTTAGTTTCACATTAATTAAACTGCGACAAACTCTTGATATTGCAGGCTGCTTATTTGTCTTTGTGGCATAGATTTGTGTGTGTGTTTTTTCTAAAATAGTCTAGAATCTTTGATGTGTGTGTTTTACAATAGTCTAGAATCTTTGATGCAAGCAGGCAAGGACATTTGATAAGAATGTAACAAAATATACTGTCTTCATACCTGTCACAGAAAAAAAAAATCAGTTTTATTTTCAATAAAGATTTTTTTATACAAATGTATGGCCTTTTTTGTAATTAACCTCGAAATATGTATTGACTTAATTCCTGATGTATACTGTGTCCATCGACAATTGTATATGTACATATATGCGTATGTGTGATAACAAAAGAGTTTCAAATATACAAAATTGAAGTGTTAAAATCGATATCTCTGTCTCTTCGTCAGCCACTCCTATGTTTCTCTGGTTAAGGAAATAAGGTGTTCCTTGGCCCACTGACGAAATCAACAGATTTTAAACTAGACTTGGTAAAATGCTTTTTCTTGCATGCACAAGGGGTGAAGCACCGAGTGTGCATGGAAAAATTAGTAGCGGGAAATTAAAGTTTGTAGAAAGATGACAGGTCAAACCGAAAATGGTAAAATATGTCACACGTAACAGACATACATGTAAACACTCACACGTGGACATTCACACATGACAAGACAAACATAGACACACATACTAGAAATAATAAAAACATTGAATCTGAAACATTTAATAACATGTTCTCACACTGGTTACATGCACAAAAGCCAATAATGCACCAGGCTTTACCATATTTTTATAATCCCGGGCATTGAAATTTTATAAAAGGCGTTCAAATAAGCATGAACTAAAAGCAGAATTAATCTATGCTGAAATTTAAATACTAGTTATGACAATAAATAAAGCTTTTCAAAGACGGATATTGTGATACCCTTAAGAAATACTTGATGGTACACCTTTCAATATGATCTCAATTTAGTTATCTTATTATGTCATTCTTTTTTATTAAAATCTATCATAATTCAGCATGCGATTGTTTTAAAATTTAGTGCAATACTTTGAAATCACAAATTTTCGTGGGGGGTAAATTTTCGTTGTTTTCGAGGTATGACGAGACCCACGAATTTTTGTCCACCACGAAATGTAAAATGTTACATACATAAGTACTCATTAATTCTTGATCCACTAAATCAAATCCCCAAGAACTAAGAGATTTTCCTCAAACCACGAAAATTTGACCCCACGAAAATATGAGATTTTACAGTATCTCAGTTGAAATACGATGGACAGTGCAAGAAATCCTTTTTGGTTTGTCAAACTGAAAATTGTTTTAAAAAGAATCTATTGGCACCTTGGACATCATCACACATTCTCTGACATACACCTAACAAATACCTCGATATATCAGTACATCCATTAGGTACATGTATGTGTTCTCCGTTGCCGATGACAAGATATCCATGACTTTAAGTAAGTCACTTAACACACCTTCGAATAAAATCGTATAAGGTACATACACTTCTTTCAGACGCGTTCATTAATTTGACATAAAGCGATTTCCTTTCAAAGGGTTCCCGGTATATTGATATATTAACATTATAATTGTAAATAATTTAATTTTAGTTGTAATACGTCATTTGATTGGGTAAAAGATTTCATCCATTTTGTATAACATAAGTTGCCTACGTCACAATTGAGTAACGTCAAAAACATATTACTCCGCTTGACGTTACTTTTAAAATTTGATCAACTTAAAGACTTTTTCTTTAAAAGTGTAGTCTACTTGCCTGCCAACTAATATTATAATCAGACTTTACACGCCAGCTAATATTATAATTAGACTAAAACTGTATTTGGAATAGCATTTAGAAAGTATTTTCCAGATATTTTTTGCAACCATGGCAACACCGTTTATCGAAATCAAAAACTGATACACAGAATTATGTATCTTAGTGAAGTCTACTTGTGTGCCAAGTCATATTGAAATCAGGCCAAAACTGTAGTGGAGTAGCATTTTAAAAGCATTTCCCAGAAATTCATATTTTTAGTAACCACGGCGACACCGTTTATCGAAATCAAAAACCGATATATAGAATAATGTATCTGACTGTAGTCTAATTGTGTGCCAAGTTATACTGAAATCAGACCAAAATTGTAGGTGGTGTAGCATTTTGAAAAAATGTTTACAGACAGACAGACGGACATTACTATCTCTGACCAGTAGAGCTTAAAACTGTTTTGTTGTCTTCTCCCGACCGACTGGCTTAAAATTGCCTGACTAAAAACAATTTAACCTGTAAGATAAAATGAAACCTTGTTGCAAACTACTATGAGTTATGAAAGATTATATAGATTATGAAATAGATCATTTTGAGTAAAATGTGCACATGGAATTGTTAAGTATGTTATTACTTTTCCATTTTTTTTACCACGTTTAATAAGATCCTTTCTATTTCTTGATGCCATTGGATCTTTTTCTCTAACACTTTCTTTTCTTTTTCTCTTGAGTTTCTTCCGCAATGAATGGAAGGAGATAAACAGTGTTAAAGATTTTTCTTCTATTTTTACTTTTTTGTTCTTTTTTTAGTTTTATTCTACAATCTCTCTCCGGTCAATTTTCCTTTCTTTTCCTATCTTGATTTTCTTCCATATCAAGACACGGAAATTGTACATGAAAATTTTACAATCGTCATGT